AGGCGGTATCGGGTGCAGGCTGCCAGCGTGGCCGGAACCGCTGTGCCTGACTCAGATCCCATCCAGCCGGAGGGACATAAGCATCAAAGGTAGCTACTGCGTCGTGAGCCTGCACCCCCTAACCCACGCTCATGTTCAGAATTTGTTTTGGGTGAGAGCACCAACCGAATAACGCCCGTCATGTCTTGATCTAGTCCCCATGTTGGTCCAGCATATCTACCCCGCGAGGACAGTTGCTGGATTAGACTTGATCCCTCCCCCCCCATCTACGCGTGCCACAACACTATAGTCAACAGTGTTTGACACGCGCAGGAAGGGGGGTCACGAGCCTTCAGTCTATAAACAAGTGCCTTGACCTGCCCAACCCATATTGGGTGCTGAGGCTGGGTTTAGCCAGAGCAAGCCGCCATTTGGAGAGCGAACAGACCAACGCGTCGTCTAACTTAGGTGTCAGGGAACCAAAGACCGAGCAATTATCCTACTCAAGTCCACCACGGGTGACAGAAGTGCAGAAGCAGCCCAATAGGGGGAGACTTTAATTGGCATAGGTATATTATGACACAGCGATTGTCAGTTTCTGCTATTGTCTCTGATATTGGGTCCGCAACGGATTTCGAAATGTCAGGCAAATTAAGTTCTTTCCCCAGGGATACCATCTGCTTCTTCTAAATTTCTTCCTTGGACTCGCATGTTTGCTTCCATTGGTAACTTCAAGCCTAGACACTGTACCTACTCTCATCGCTACATGTCTGGGATTCTACGCAGCTGCATATTCGAAAGCTCAGATTCGACAATACCTCTCTTCATCCCTTGTCCTAGCTGTGCTGTGCAATTTATGTGAGATTGGTGGTCAACACCTGACTATATCGTACATTTGGAAAAAAATAATTTGTTCGTTCGGAGTGCCCAGTTGTCGTGAGTAGTAGTGTTGACAGCAGAAGGTTCCCCCAACCCAAAAGCCAGGGAAAACAGAATTGGCAAGAACAGTTTTTACTGCGCTAAAAGCCCTTTACAACAGGCTCTGCCAAGCGATCGTAACCGCTGCGTTCTCAGGCCAGTTGAGTTAGCGTGCGTGTCCGCTGCTGTTGCGAAGCCTTGGCTGCGGGATGTTTGCTCTGTATGCTGCAGCCAATCAAATGAAGCGGGGCGTATTGATTGGCTTGGAGCGTGGTATCAAGCAGTGAGTCGACCGAGAGCGTGGGAAAGGACGATAGCGCGCAGAGTAGATGATTACGCGTGGGTGCAAGCTTTTGGCAGAGCGAAAGCAAAATTATTAAGCGCGGTGGCGCTGGGCACGTGGACTCCCTCAACTTACACAGTCGTCCCAGCGGCCAAGTTACTCCCCACCCACACTTCGAAAACGCATGTTTTCTCGGATTTCATTTGATTCTCATTCGGATGATAGTGAATAAGGAAGAAACCAAAACAACAAAAAATCGGGGAGACGGGAAAAAAACACTAAAAACACAAAATAACCGTAGTCAAAATAGTAAGTAAATATGGACGGGTTGGGGCGGCAGAGTCTAGCAATCACTACGAAGCCTTAACGCGCACTTCAACAGGCCGCACTTTCTCGCCTCTCCTCCGGTTGTCCCTAGTGGGAGCGCTGAATTGCCTCCGCAGGGAGGGGAACGCGTCAGACCGCTGGTTGTTGCTCTTTTCAAGGCTGATGTCATTGGAGGAGTTGAACGATCCATCGATTGACATACGCGCAGCCTCGGAGGAGAATCCATTGGGAAGAGACTTTCGATGGCTTCTGTAGTCCTCCACGAGTTGATTAAGGTCCAGCAGGTACTTCTCAAACAACAGATCCTCCTTCGGGACCTCCTGCCGTACGAAATCAACCAACCGGAAGAGGTAGTCA